AAAAAAAAAAAAGGGAAACCCAAGGGGGGGGGGTTAAGGCATTATAGCTTTATCGGTAAGTCGTGATATAGCGAGTACAGTGTGGTCCTGTATTTTTTGCATCTATCTGGCATTATGGTAGTATCGGTCTGGTGTATGGACCTATGGCAGCTTGATTGGTATGTCTTGCGCGTGCGTTGGCTTAGCTGTGTAATGATTTTGTTCATTGCTGTTCCAGGCAGGGTGTGTGGTTGTCTGGCGTCTATTGTGTGTTTCTCTCCCGGGGCCTATCCATGTGCCCCCCTGCGCGCTTAAGCTCGGTGTCTATTTGGCGTCTTGCCTCCGGCCGCCACCGCCTAGCTCGCCTCTTATGGGGAGGCGGGGGAGGGGAGGATCATGGGCAGATGTAAAGGTGGGAGGGAGAGGGACGGCGATCCCCATCTCCCCCCGCCGGCCCCAGGCAGCCCAGGCCAGGCGCGCCACCACCGCCCGTACTGTGTTTTGTCCTCTCCGGTTATCTTCTGGCCAGATAGAGGATCCACGGGGTCCAGCACTGTTGATATTTTTCCATGTTGTTCCTTATCGCCGCCGTGAGCCTTTCCATTTTGTGTATCTCTTCGACTTTATCCATCCACTGCTGGAGTGTGGGTGTCTGTCCGGTTTTCCATCTGTTCGGGATCAGAGCCTTTGCTGCGTTGAGAAGGTGTTTTGTCAAGGATTTTTTATACTGCGAGAGGGGCGCCTGGGTGTGGTGAAGCAGCATCTGGAGCGGTTGAAATGGGAGCTCGGTGCCCTGTATCTCACGGATAGCTCCGTGGATCTCCCGCCAGTAAGGGGCTATCCTTTCGCATGACCACCATATGTGGAGGTCTGTTCCTGGTCTCTCCCCACATCTCCAGCATGTGTCTGGGATTTCAGGCAGCATGCGATGCTCGGTACCAGGGGTTCGGTACCAGCCTATGAGTAATTTGTAGTTTAGCTCTTGTAGTTTGGAGCACATGGAGCTCTGGTGCGTGAGAATATATATTTTGGTCCACTGGGCGTCGGAGAGCGCCGTTCCCGTCTCTCTCCCACCGTGCTGTGTGTTTCGCTGGTTCAAGAGGGACCTTCGATCTGAGCATAGAATAAAGGACTGAGATCCCCCAGGGGATGTGCGTCCCGCTATTGCAATATTTCTCGAATTCTGTAAGGGGTCTGTGAAAGGGATGTCTCCCCCGTTGGGCATTATAGTAGGTCTTGATTTGGATGTACCGAAATCTCTCTAGCCCTGTTGGGGTTTATTCTCCATTAAGTCATGTAGTGGTTTGAACGTATTCGTGGTGCACCATTGGTGTATGTGGGTTCGACCCACTCTGCCAAAGGCTGCCACATCCTGGGGTAGGAGCCCTCCTGCTACCTCGGGGTTAAAGAGTACCGGTGTCATCGGTCCCGGTAGTGTGGTAAGAGAGAGTTTCATCCGAATTGCTTTCCAGACTTTCAGCGTTGCTCCGATGAGTGGGTGGTTCTGTGCTTGGGTATTCAAGAGGTTGTGGCTCCAGACTAGTGCCGGGATCCTCTCCTCCATCAGTGCCCTTTCCATGCATATCCAGTGCTTAGATGTGTGTGGGATATGCCACTCGACAATATGTAATAGGTGTGTGGCTCTGTGGTATTCCCTCATCGATGGTAAACCCGTTCCTCCCTGTTCCTTTGGTCTGTGAAGCAGAGTCCTACGGATCCTGGGCGGTTGGTTGCGCCATGTAAACTTGTCCGAATCTAGTTGTCGGAAAAACGTCGCAGGTAGGCTGATTGGGATCATTTGAAATAGATATAGCAGCGGGGGGAGAAGATTCATTTTGACGGCGTTCATTCTGCCAAACCAGGAGACGCATAGGCTCGCCCAGCGTACCATGTCCGTCTTAAGTTATAGGGTGAGCGGAGCAAAGTTGTGGGTGTATAGGTGCTTGAGGTCTGTCGGAAGCCAGATACCGAGGTACTTCAGTTTGGTGGTGCACCACTTAAAGGGGTATTGCGTGCGTAGGTGGGCGGCCTCCTCCGGGTCGGTCGCAATGAGCATTGCTTCCGATTTGTCGGTGTTAAGTTTTAAGTTCGATATCTGTCCGTATTCCTGGAATGCTTTTAAGATGTTCGTGTCAGGGTCTTACCTGAGTTGGGAGTCTGTAGCGCAGATATGATGCTCACCCTTGCAGATAGCCACAGGCCGAGGTGGTCAGGTAAGAATTCACCTGGCCTGTGGGTCTGTGCACGGGGGCTGTGCAGGATGCAGTACCAATACGCAGGACAGGCAAGGACCGAACCAGCAGGATGGTCGAGGGATAGCCGAGGTCAAAGGATGCCAGAGGACAGGAACAACGAGGAGTAGCCGAAGTCAAGGGATGCCAGAAGTCAGAATAAACAAGTCAGGAAGCCGGGGTCAATAATGCAAAGCGATGAAACAGGAACACTAGAACAAACAGGATCAAAGACTTGACACTGAGCACAGGGCGAGGCTGGGTTTATATACCCTGCTGATGACTGATCAGAGTCAGGTGAAACACAGCCAAGTCAAGGTGCAGCCCCCCAAGTAGTAGCCATGTCAGGATGAACAGAACTGGAATCAATCTTCACTGTAAATAGCTGCTGTGGCTCAGAGGTAGAAAGCAGGACCAGGACTGAGAAGATCCCCGGTTCAAGTACCCTGTTGGGAACTCCAAGAGCGACCACGTCTTGCCGTCTGTCTATCAGGTGAGAACCGTGACAGTACCCCCCCTTTAAAAACAACCTCCGGGCGTAAATAGGTTCACTGTCAGCATAGTACACCTCTCCAGGGTCACTATCTGAATCCAGTGAGTCCCCATAGTCAAACTCCCTAGCAAGGATTCCCTTTACAGCTTGGGAGTCCGCAGTACCGGCTTCTGGTACGGCTGGAGAATTGTCCAGGTCTTTTAGGTTCCGGGTACAGGTGGCAAGCACTTCCAAAACTTTGGCAGGAGCAGTGTTCGCAGCTAACAATGCTTTTTCAAACATTTCAAGGTCTTCTTTACGGACTATAGTGCCATTAGAAGCAGCGGCACAATCCACAGGTAAAACCTCTTCGGGCGGGCAGGAAGTAGTGGTGGTATCACAGGAAGCAACTTCGGGAGTAGATGCAGGAGGCTCTGGAGCAGGGGATGGAGGTTTTCTCGCGGAAGCCAAGCATGTGCAAGCACAACGGCTTCTATTTGGCTTTTTAGGCTGGTATGTGGTGTACACAGGGCGAAGGAAACTAGTACCAAGTCGGAGAGCTGGAGGTCTAGGAGGGCGAACAGGACAAAGCGTGATGAAATGCCCTTTTTCTCCACAGTAGTAACATAGGCCATAGCTTCTCCTTCGGTCTTTTTCCTTAGGTGTCACTTTGCAGTGGACGAGTCCTAATTGCATAGGTTCCACAGGGTCAAGTGGAACACCGGATACCTCTGGAGTTTTCCTGGGAGCTGGAACATAAGGAGGCATTTCTGGGGCATAGTGGTGGTACTCGGTTTCTTGGTTAGGAAGAGTCTGAGATTTTTTAGTACGTGGAGCTGACTTGGCCACAGTGGTCTTACATTGTGAGTCCATAGCAGTACTAAAGGATTCCCAGCTGACCAGGACAGGACTCTTCGTCTGCAACATTTGGTGAGCCCAAACTTTGATGCGTCCAGACAACAGGTTGATAGCCGCTCTGACCCTGATGAATTCTGTGGCATATATTCGAGGCTTTAAAGAAAACAACACCTCACAATCCATCTTGAAAGACTGAAAGGATGTGCGGCTACCATCAAATCGGTCGGGCATGATGACAAACGGTTCAGGAAAAGCTGGTTCCGGGGCTGGATGTACTGCGCCTTTAAGGAATAAAATTTCTTGCTGCAGCTCCAAAACTGTCTGGGCAAGGCTGGACACACGCTGGGTCGAGGGTGAGCACATCTCTGCGGACTCCATAATGGTCAAGTCTTATGTCAGGGTCTTACCTGAGTTGGGAGTCTGTAGCGCAGATATGATGCTCACCCTTGCAGATAGCCACAGGCCGAGGTGGTCAGGTAAGAATTCACCTGGCCTATGGGTCTGTGCACGGGGGCTGTGCAGGATGCAGTACCAATACGCAGGACAGGCAAGGACTGAACCAGCAGGATGGTCGAGGGATAGCCGAGGTCAAAGGATGCCAGAGGACAGGAACAACGAGGAGTAGCCGAAGTCAAGGGATGCCAGAATTCAGAATAAACGAGTCAGGAAGCCGGGGTCAATAATGCGAAGCGATGAAACAGGAACACTGGAACAAACAGGATCAAAGACTTGACCCTGAGCACAGGGCGAGGCTGGGTTTATATACCCTGCTGATGACTGATCAGAGTCAGGTGAAACACAGCCAAGTCAAGGTGCAGCCCCCAGAGTAGTAGCCATGTCAGGATGAACAGAACTGGAATCAGTCTTCACTGTAAATAGCTGCTGTGGCTCAGAGGTAGAAAGCAGGACCAGGACTGAGAAGATCCCCGGTTCAAGTCCCCTGTTGGGAACTCCAAGAGCGACCACGTCTTGCCGTCTGTCTATCAGGTGAGAACCGTGACAATTCAGTAGTGACACCAGGGGGTTGCTGATGAAAAATAATAAGTCGTCGGCATATGCCGCTATCTTGTGCGTGGTGCCTTTTAACGTGAACCAGTGATGCCCCCATCCCGTCTGACCGCCCCCAGGAATGGTGATATATTAATATTTTGATGAAATAATTGTAAAAGTTAATCCAAAAAATATTAAATAATTTGAAGAGCTTATCTAAAAATATTAAAACAGGGCCAAAATGTGATACATATCCCTCTTAGTGTCTCAGCTAGAAATTCTGCTAACCCCCCTGTATGTGTATAGGTTAATTATTACTTCCTCTAAAGGCAAGCCAAACTTTACTGTTAAATGTCTCTGTCCATATCGAGTAGTGTTTAATAGTGTAAATATTGTTTTACAATATATTTTTTTAATATATAAATAATGTACTGGTGTGTAAGTGGCCCCAAAGAGAATGGATCTGTTATTTTGATCAACTCATAAATTGTATAATGTAAGATTGTCACAATGTTTTAATCTTTGGGGTCTTTTTTGTTTGTTTTCCTTAAGGGACCATTATAGTCAACCAGACCACTTCAGCTCAATTAAGTGGTATGAGTGCCAGGTCCCCCAGGTTTTAACCCTGCAACTGAAAACATAGCAGTTTCAGAGGTTTTAACCCCTTCAGCCCAGCGGGAGGGGGGCCCTGAGGGCGGGAGGACCTAAGGGTTATATAGTGTCAGGAAAACAAGTAATGATCCTTTAACCCCTTAAGGACCAAACTTCTGGAATAAAAGGGAATCATGACATATCACACATGTCATGTGTCCTTAAGGGGTTAAATTATTTTTTTAGTGTGATGTCTTGTATGTGAGGCTATTGTTAAAAATGTTTAAAGAAATTAAAGATTATAAATGAAAAAAACATTGTTTCTCATTTAGCAGAAAAACCCAGTCTGCAGATACTATACAAATGAGCTAATTTTCATTATCTGAGTTCAGTAAAAACATTAGCTCATTGTTTCTGTGTATATCATAGTACATTGCAGGAAATGTATAGTGCTGAAGTCATAATCATTAAATTCAATTATGATTCGTTCTTTTGTAAACTCTCTACAGCTTGCGCACAAATAGCAGTGCTGTGTTAATTCTCTGTCAACATGTTATTGTGCATAGAACCTTATATAACCGCTAATCTTTCTAACTAAAACCATCAGTCTCTTGTTAGCTAGTAATATCAGGGCGAAACATACAATATGTTCAAGGCCCCAAAAATATATACTTATAAGAATAAAAATTTATATTTTCAAAGAATAAATTATGAATCTGCAATATCAAAAATAAGAATGATTGACTGGAGCTGGCTGCTTTTCGACCAGATCACACGGTCTTTGTCAAGCCTAAGCTCTCACCGTACCACAGACAATTCTTCTAATTAAGCAATTACGTTGCCAGCTCCGATCTGGTGGAATAAACTACTTTGTGTTATTTTTGGTGTTTCGTGTTTCAGGTCCCCACGGAAGGGGACCTCGAGAACCTGCACCCGTTTATACATTTCCAGTAGTGTTGGTCTCCCTCTACCTTTATTCTAAATATATATATATATATATATATATATATATATATATATATTATGTAACAGAGTGTTGGGGATGGTGGTCAGGGGTGTATATCTGGCACCCAGACTTTTGCACAGCCACTATCCTGACATGTGGGTAAGCACATGCAGCCCCAGGGAAAGTTAAGTTTAAATTTAGTTTTTTTTTCCTCTTGTTATTTGGGTCCCTGGGGTGGAGTATTCGGAAGAGCAGGGTGGGCCGATTCTCCACCCACTGTCAGAGTGGTTGTGCATGAGTCCAGCCCACGTTTTAGCAAATATATCATATAAATTTACTAAAACCTGGGCTGGACTCATGCACAACCACTCTGACAGTGGGTGGAGAATCGGCCCACCCTGCTCTTCCGAATACTCCACCCCAGGGACCCAAATAACAAGAGGAAAAAAAAACTAAATTTAAACTTAACTTTCCCTGGGGCTGCATGTGCTTACCCACATGTCAGGATAGTGGCTGTGCAAAAGTCTGGGTGCCAGATATACACCCCTGACCACCATCCCCAACACTCTGTTACAATATATATAAATATATATATTGAGAAGCTGTGGAATACAATGTAATTGGTATTATCCAGCAATGCATTAAATCATGCAGAAGTGGCAAATACATACTGCGTGCAGATTGAGGTAGATAACATATAAAATGTGGATCTGTTAAACTGTCTTTAAATGGACACTCCACTGCCCAAATACATTTTTAAAATCACTCATTAGTAGATATACCCCAAATGAAAACATACATGCATTTTTTCACTGTCTAAAATCAGCTTGCATAGGCTGCAGATCTATTGTCTGTAGCCTTTGCAAGCCATCCCCTTCTTACCCCGCCCAGACTTTCTGTGGCTGTCCAATCACATACTTCCCAATGCAGCTCAATGGGAAGTCTTTGCAAGGCAGGTGTTCTGGAGTTTTGCTCCTCTAAAAAAGCAATGCACCTTGGGCCAGTGATGATGTCACTGCACTACACAGGGAGTGAAGCTGGAAAAACCATAGAGACTAGCGGTCAGTCTGACCAAAGGTGCATGTTTATGGCTGAAGTTATCCTGTCTTAAACTAAAGGTAGGGATGTGTTTTCTCATTTTTTAAATATATTCTTCATTTAACATAGAATCAATTTCCTTTCAAAACTTGATGAAAAGACCATTATATAAAAATAGTGTTGAGGTGACAGTTGTCCTTTAGTTTACATAAGTGTTAATTTATATTGAAATCTGCACTATTTGTAAAATGGAAAGAAGAGGACACACTGTTCAGATATAAAGCCTCCACCAAGCTAAAGTGCTCTATGGGTATGGAGTGTTCCTTTAAAATATTGGAGACTCTTCCAGGAATTCTAACTCCCATCCAGAGACTGCCATCAACGCCCAACAACCGGACATTGGAGAAGCCTGTTTGCTCGTCTCCTGCCACTGGACTATGGCCCCATGTTAAAAACTCGTATTCTCCCCTGCAGAAAGGCTTGTTCGTGCCTTTCTGCCTGGGCGTTCGGTAGAATGAATCTACCGAACAAACAGACGAATGACCGACCACCTGGGAATGGAGTGTGCCGTCAATTGACTGCCCAGAAGCTGCGGTTAATTGCAGCTTAATTGACGAATGCTGGGTGGCCTTTGTACGTTTGCCGAACACGTGGCAGCGGAAAATGTATAAATTAATGATTACATAAAAAAAAAACTGTTTCCCACAGAAGGCAGCCCTTATCCTACTGCACATGTATACCTACACACTCTACATCCACTACACATGCACTACATACACACCTCATCTACTTTGCACACACTGCATCCTCTACACAAACATAGACACTGCGTCCATTACACAAATAAACTACATTCACTACGCACACTCTACATCCACTCTACACACACACTGCATTCTTGTGGGCAGTTTTGGAGGCAGGCACTGTTGATATATTCATGGGCGGCCCAGTGGCTGGACTTTGGGGTGAGTCCTGGGGGCCCAACCCTTGCACTGTACAGGGCCCTAAACGTTCTGATTGCAGCCCTGCTCCCATCATACCTTTACGGATGGCAAAAGCATTATGCAAGTAGTACAGTAGTAAATGCTGTATATCTGCAGGTTTAGGCTATTTACTAAACCTGCAGATATATGGCACAGGGTTATTAACTAAACAATGCATATTTGCTAATTAAATCCAAATGGAAACAAAATCAGGAAAAAAAATAACTGATCTGGAAAAATTCTCTAACTCAATCATATTCAAAACTTAATTTCCTTTATGTTTTGCCTCTGTTTTGCTGAAGGCATGTAAATCACATAAATGCAGGGTTTCAACAATTACATTTTAGCTTAAAGAGACACTATAGGCACCAAATCAACTTTAGCTTAATTAAGCAGTTTTGGTGTATAGATCTCACTGAATAATTCTCTGCCATTTAGGAGTTAAATCACTTTGTTTATGCAGCCCTCGTCACACCTCCCTGCATGTGACTTACACAGCTTTCCATAAACACTTCCTGTAAAGAGAGACCTAATATTTAAACTTCCTTTATTACATAATCTGTTTACATTTGGATTTCTTAGATCCTGCTCTGTTAATAACCTCCTAGACCCTGCAGAAGCCTCCTAAGTGGGATTAAAGTTTTATTTAAAGAGCAGGAGATAAAAACTTCTAAAGCAAGTTAACATCTGATTAAAGTGAAACAAATTTTTTTTCATGCAGTTTGTGTGAGTCACAGCCAGTAGAGGTGTGACTAGGGCTGCATAAACAGAAACAAAAGTGATTTAACTCCTAATTGGCAGAGAATTAAGTAGTGAGACTGCAGGGGCATGATCTATACACCAAAACTGCTTCATTAAGCTAAAGGTGTTTTGATGCCTATAGAATCCCTTTAAAGCTTGCAGTTCTTAGTTCTCCACAATTCCCAGTTTAATTCATAAACCTCATAGGCCCTGGGGAGATAGCGCAGCTAAGCGGACAAGGGCACATGTAGGAGTGTGGGGATAGATGCATGGGATTGGGTGGGAAAGAATGTGTGGGTGGGATTATGTTCTGTGTAAGTTAGTGTGGGGGAGGTCTTACCTCAGTGCCACTTGGGATTCAGGCCAGCAAACAGCTTCCTGTCCTCCTGCTACTGTTTGCCTGGGCCTGCAGATTGACACAGCTTGAGGGATGGAGGATGAGGCTTTTTGGCTTCCCTCAGGGCTGCTGCAGCGTGGATGGTGGCCGTCGACTCCTGATTCAGGTGCTCTCCTCTCCTGGATCCTCTCCCCTGGGTGGCTGCTGGTGTGGGTGCTCCCCCCCCACCCCCGCGGCCTTGGTCCCTCTGGGGCCTTCCCTGTGGCACCTGCCTCCCACCCCCTTCCCTGGGTGGCTGCCGGTGTGGGTTCCCCCCACCCCCGCGGCCTGTCTTCATCCATCTGGGGCCTTCCCTGTGGCCCCTGCTCCTGGGGGCTGCGATGGTGCCGGCCAGCATTCCAGCCGCCAGCTCTGCTACCCCCTATGTTGCTGCTCCTCGGGCCCGGTTGAGGAGGTGGAGCCCGTGCCCGAGGCTTCACCCGACCGCGTGTCTGAGGCTCCAGACAAGCGGCCTAAAACACGCGGGACTTGCAGCCTCCCCATCCTGCAGCCGGATCCGGTGCGGACGGCGCATCCTGTGCCTTGTGTGGCCGGCCAGAGACCTTCTGGAACCACCGCATGGCAGGCGCAACGGCGGGGCCTGGGACAGGGCCCCGGCGGTGAGTGGGCCCTGCAGGGCAGAGAGGGGACTGCTTCAATGCTGTTGGAGGTGAGGGGCAACCACTCCTGAGGGCCTCCTGTGCACCCCCCCTTTTTTTTCAGTTTCCCCCCCCCCCCTGTTGGCATTCCGGGGGCGGTGCTTCATTACCTCCCCTGGTGTCCCCCTGTTTTCTTTCTTTCTTTCCCCCCCCTTTTTTCCCCCCTCTCTCTGTTTTCTTCCCCCTTCCCCTCTCTCTGTTTCTCTCATCTATGTCCTCCCCCCCCTTTTTTTCCTTTTTTCCCCTGCTCTTACCTGTTCCTGGGTCTTCTCTGCCTTTTGCTTCTTCTTTCTCTGCCTTCTGTTCTTCTATCTCTGCCTTCTGCTCTTCTCTCTGCTGGTTACTTACCTCAGCTGCCTCCTGGTGGCATGTCCTCTCCATGCCCTTCTCACAGGTCCTGGCTGCAGTTCATAGAAATGCCCAGCAGGTGGCGCCTGGAACATCTTGGAAGAAAACAGTGGAAGCGGGGTTGTGGCGGGGGTATGTCCTTGCCAATTGAGTTTGAGGGGTTACGTTTAAGTATACGGAATGAGATGAACAAGTTTTTAAGGTCTCAACCTCCCCTGCTTCAAAAGGTTAACATTAGGTTGCCTGAGGTGTCGTGCCCATCGAGCGTGGATAAGGTCGGCTGATGGCGGGCATTGAAAAGATATGATTTTTATGACGAGGGGGGAGGTGAGAGGAAGTGGTGATTAGGAACCACTGTATGTTTATTGGCAAGGACGGTTGGGTCACTGTATAACACTATGTGTGGAGTTATATATGTATATATGTTAATTCATGCTTATTTATGTCTAACGTTTTGGTTACAGAAAAGAAGAGATTTAATAAACAAAGTTATGGATGTGTTATGCAGTAAATTTAGTTTGTGATAATAAATGCTGTGGCCTGTTCATCCATACTAAGTGGTCTGTCATTATTGGGGGGTTGAATGGGGTTAGTTTTGTTCTAGGCTGCATCGCAATTCCCCACTATGTACATACATGTATTTTATGGAACATATTTGCCTTTCTATCGCTAGCCTTTAAACTTGGTTTAAATATTTTTCTATTTATTAAGATTTTTATCATTAACTCATAAAAATACCAACATTGTACAACAGAGAGAAACAAATAGTGATGTCCCGAACAGTTCGCCGAACGGTTCGCCGAACGGTTTGCCGCGAACGGTTCGCCACGGACTCATCATTTGACCCTGCACCTCACAGTCAGCAGACACATTCCAGCCAATCAGCAGCAGACCCTCCCTCCCAGGCCCTCCCACCTCCTGGACAGCTCACTAAGAATGCAACTTCACAATGGATGGAGAGAAGTTTACTCAATGATGAGTCCGCAGCGAACCGTTCGTGGCGAACCGTTCGCGAACCGTTCGGCAAACCGTTCGGGACATCACTAATGGCAAACAATTTAACTTAAAATAGTAATGAAAGATAAAGACACTGTTCTTCAATATGGAATACATTATATGCTGCAAATAATCTTTTCTAATCATTCTTCAATCATGTACATAAAAGTTTTGAAGAATGAGTCATCAAGTACTAAGAACTACTTGCTTAAAAAAAATCAATTTGTAACATAAGCTTAAT